CTTCGCGGCGACGGCCAGCCCATCCGCTACAAGAACCACCTTACATACGTACAGTGGTTGGAATCCGGGCTCAAGGATCACGCGGCCGAACGATGGCGAAAACTCGAGTTTTCTCACCGCGTCAACATGACGTTCGCCGCTTTTAAGGATTGGATTCAGAAGACCTTCTCCTCACCTCTCAGCTTCCAGGACGCCATGAGAGCCCTTACAAAAATTCAGCAGTTCCGGTCGTGCCAGGACTACGTCGAAGAATTCGACCACCTGACACGCGCCGTCGAGGCTTGCGGCATCATCCTGCAAGAAGAAGTGTTAATCTTCTTCTTCATGGAAGGTCTAAAGGACCACCTACACCAGTCCAAGGACCTCTTCGACATCAAGGTCCTCCGCGACCTCCAGAACGAGGCCCTCCGACTCGATCGATTCTACTGGGAAACCCGTAAAAAGGGGAGTTCTAGCGGAACCCCTACAAGAAAGTCGACATCCACCTCTACCTCCACCAGCACGGCTTCTCGCGGCGACCCCATGGACGTCTCCAACGTTGAAGGAAAAGGGAAGACCTTTCTCAAGCTCACTAAGGAAGAAAAGGAAGAATTTAAGCGTCAAAACAGGTGTTCCTTTTGTCGCCAATCTGGACACACCATCGACAACTGCCAGGACCCCCGCAAGAAGTCCTTTCGGCCCAAGTCCAACAATGTCGAGGCCACTCCCGCCGAATCCAGCTACTCCAGCGAATCCGGCGAAGGAGGCGAGGCCTCCGACTAAGGGCGTCAACGCCCTCAGCGCTCTCGGCGAGTCGACCACGCCGCCGATCGAGCGCTGCATCGAGAGAGTCGAACGCGAAGGATCGATTCCCTCCTCATCAGCCCTTTTTCCCTCGCAATCCCCCCGCCTCTCGACGCCGGCAGATTGGAAATCACCTACCCCAACCCCAAAGTCGTCGAAACGGCCGCATGTCGAGCTCCAGCTCTATCACCTAGGGTTCGAAAAACCCAAGGACGAACTCGTCGTTCTTGAAGGCACCATCTCCGGAAGGAAGGTTCGCGTACTGGTCGATTCCGGCGCGAATCCTTCGTTCATCAGCAATCGTCTCGTAGTCAAGCTCGGCCTCACCATCGACGAACACGCGTTTTTCGACGTCCAAACGGCTTCCCATTCACGCTCACCACTGGACGGTCGCCTCTGTCCTCGAGTCTCTCTTCGCATCGACGCGTACGAGGAACAGCTGAGTTTCATCGCCGCCGACATCGCGTACGATGTTATCCTCGGCATTGACTGGTTACGCCAGAAACGCGTCCAATTCGATTGGGACGCTCATGGCATCCAGTTCGACGACTTCAAGCTCACTGCACCAAAACCGGATCCGCCTCCGAAGGAATCAAACCCTCTGAAGGCGCTCAACATCAAGGAAGGAACGAAGAGCTCGATTCGACGACTCCTCCGACACCCAGATGCAGAGATCGGCGTCGTCTGGGCCAAGCCAGTCGTCGAACTCAACGCCGCCGAAGCACCAGAACTACCACAGATCAGAGGAACTGCCGATTCAAATCGGCGGGATCTAGAGGCCAAGGAGAAACTGACCACGGAGATTCGAACCCTCGTGGACAAGTACCCAACGGTCTTCAGCACTTTCGAAGGAGTCCCTCCCCCTCGTTCTTGGGACCATCGGATCGACCTGATCGACCCGCAGGCTCCCCCACCCGCGCGACCAATTTACCCGATGAACGAGAAGGAACTCCGCGCTCTGAAAGACGAACTAGACTTCCTCCAGACGGAAGGAAGGATCCGTGAGTCCATCTCAGCATACGGAGCGCCGGTCTTCTACGTTTATCAAGGGGAAAAGATGCGGTTAGTGTTTGACTACCGCCTCTTAAATCAGAACACCATCAAGAATCGAACAGCCATACCCTTCATCATGGAGATCTTCGACCTTCTCTGCGGCGCCCGATTCTTCTCAAAGCTCGACCTCTCCTCCGGTTACCACCAGATTCGAGTAGCGGCAGGACACGAGCATCGTACAGCCTTCAGAACGAAATATGGCCACTTCGAGTGGACCGTGATGCCTTTCGGGCTCGCCAATGCTCCCGCCACCTTCCAATCCATGGTCAACGGAGTATTCAAGGACTACGTCGATAAGTTCGTCATCGCCTACCTCGACGACATCCTCGTATTCAGCAAAACTCGAGAAAAACACATCGAACACCTCGATCTAGTGCTCAAGCGTCTCGACGAGCAAAACCTTCACGTCAGGCTGCACAAGTGTGAATTCCTGGCAAGCGAACTGGACTACCTCGGGTTCCACGTCTCCAACAATCGCCTCAGCGTCCTACCGTCCCGGGTGGACGGCATCAAGAACTTCGAATCGCCACGAACCTGGACGGAGTTACGATCCTTCCTCGGTCTCTGCAACACCATTCACCGATTCGTGTCAAAGCATGCCTCGCTCATGGCCCCACTCTCGGATCTCCTCCAGGGATCCGGCACCAAAAGGAAGCCATCCCCCTTTGTGTGGACCGATACCGCCGAACAAGCTTTCCAAGAGGTTAAAAGAGCTCTTTCGGCACCTGAAAGCCTCGCCTTATTCGATCCTACGAGGCCAGTTCACCTCTACACGGATTGGAGCGAACGTGCCATTGGGAGCTACGTTGCTCAACCCGATTCTGACGGCATTGATCACCCCGTCGCCTTCGCTTCGCGCAAATGCAATAAGCACGAGCGCAAATACCACCCTTATCACGGCGAGATCCTAGCCTTAGTCGAGGGATTGAAGACTCATCGCCATTACCTCTCCGGAACATCGGTAAAGGTTTTCACGGACCATGACTCCCTGCAGCATCTGCTCGATCAACCAAAACTCCGCCCAGTTCACCACCGATGGCTTGCAGACATCCTCAGTTTCGACTTCGAAATTGAGTGGATGCCAGGAAAGTGGAACACGGTCGCTGACGCCCTGTCAAGACGACCTCACGAGAAGGACGCATCGACGCAGACGGGAACCGAACTCAACGCCCTCTTCAGAATCACCGACGATGTCCTGGATCGACTGAGGCAAGACCTTCCCGATGACGAGCTCTTCGAAGAGCTGCGACCATTCCTCATCGACGATACCCGCGACCCTCCGAACGCCCAGCCACGGCAGCCACCTCCAGAATCCAAACTGTCAACCAAGCTTAGGAACTACCATCTCGACGACGGACTGCTCTATTTTTGTCAGAAGGGCATTCGGGAGTACCGTCTCTACGTACCAGCAACGGCACTCCGACACGACCTCGTCGCAAGAGCCCACGAAGGCGCGCCGGCAATTCATACAAACTGGGAACGCACGACCGAGCGGCTCTCTCGCCACTACTATTGGCCGAATATGAACAGAGACGTGATTCGACACGTGCGATCCTGTGACTCGTGCCAACGCAACAAGACCTTGCGGCGGCCTCCCTTCGGCCTGCTCAAACCGCACGAGATCCCTCAACTCCCATGGGATCACGTTTCCATGGATTTCCTCTCACTGCCGGAAACACGACGTGGCAACAACAACCTTCTGGTCTTCGTCGACTCGGCCACCAAGCGGGTTCGTCTCTTCCCATGTAACAAAACCATCACCGCCGCCCAGACAGCCCTCATCTTCGCGAGAGAAATCTGGAAGCATCATGGGCTCCCAACGAAGATTATCTCTGACCGCGATCCCATTTTCATGGAACGATTCTACAGAGATCTGCTCAAAGCACTCGACATCAAGCGAAACCTCTCCTCCACGTACCACCCGCAAACCGACGGACAAACAGAAGTCCGTAATCACTGGATCCAGGAGGCTCTTCGCCACTACGCCCGCGAGAACGCCGACTGGGACGAGTTCATCCACGTAATCGAATACGGGATTAACGACACACGAAACAGCACTACGGGCTTCACTCCCTTCCAGTTAGACCTCGGCAGGCATCCTCGCAGCCTGATGGACCTCCAGATTCCCCTTGGACTCAGCATCGACGCCACCAACTGGAAGAACAACCTCGCCGCAGCAAGGAACCACGCCTTCTTGGAGCAAGAACGCTACGCACTCCGTGTCAATCGCCATCGCCTCGAAGACCCCTTCAAGATCGGCGATCTAGTGCTTCTCACCACCAAGCACTATCGACCACCAACTCTTCCAGATCGAGCACTCAACAAGCTGGTGCCTCGTTGGACCGGCCCCTACAAAATCACAGGCAAAGTCGGTGAAGCTTACACACTCGACTTACCTGCCGGATGGCACATCCACAACGTATTCCATCCCGACAAGCTCAGGCCCTACTTCTGAGACTCCTCTGGACCTCACCCCCTCCATCATCTCCCCATCGCAGAGCGCGAAATCGAGCGCATCCTGTCAAGACGGACGATCGTTGACGAAAATGATCCTCGCAAGACTCTCACCTTCGTCCTGGTCAAATGGAAAGACCACTCCCCCATCTTCAACGTCTGGATACCCGTCGACCGCGACCTTCGACGCTACATTGACGAGCACCCGGAACTCTCGGGCCCCGGCAATCCCATCAACATCCCCCAAGCCCGACTCTTCGCCCACCTCTCGCCCGGTCTCAGCAACACCCCAGACTACCACGAATAACTCAATCCTGCACTACCATGCAATGATCAGTACCTTCGGTATTTCAGCACCTTCCCTCCGTTCGGTGCTTGTGGGGGGGTATGTTACGGATTATTTTCCTCTGTCGTTTCAAACTCCGATATTTCATTATTTCGCTATATGTTACACAAAATTTCTGGACTTTGCGGACTTTATCCGAAATTTTCCCTTCAGTTTCTCGCCCACAGCCAAAGTTCGGCTGATGGACTTTGCGCGCTTCGCGGACTCAGCCGCTACGCGCTCCCACGGCCTATAAAAGGTCCGTCCATTCTTGTTTTTAAGATGATAGAATACAAGTAGTTCTATAACACTTTATTCTCATTACTCTTCGCGGACTTCGCCGCAATCAAGGTTCATTCCCTTACAGAAAATAACGAAAAAACATGCCTTCTTAGCTCAGTGGCAGAGCGTTTGCCTCGTAGTCCGGGATTTCGGACTCGCCAGCAAAAGGCCACGTGTTCGATCCACGTAGAAGGCATTTACGATAGCGCCGTTTTGAGTTGTTTGTTGTTAAAGCTGTTTTACCTATTTTTAACTTTGTTCGCGATTGCTCCCTTTTTTTGTGCCTCGAGCAAAGCTCTGTTTGCCATCTCCATCCTCCACGCTCTTTCGCCTCTCGTTTGCGTCGTCAGCATGCGTAAACAACCGCGCTGAACAAGTTGACGTAACCGCCAACTGGTCAAAAAATTTCGTAATAAAATTTGTAGCGGAGTTTGAAAAAATTGAAAGATTATTTTTGTGGATTCCCCGAAAGCCAATCGATTGACGTCAAAGCGGGAGTCAACCATCGGCCTTTCCGGCGATGCTGCATCGTCGGCGAAAGAGGTGCGATGCCCGCTGTCGCATTATCGAACCCTAGCCCACTACGACCTCAGTCAACCCGGTTGTGAAGCCAGGTGTTTGATCCACGCAGAAAGCGTTCAGGTTTTCGGTCTTCCTGGAAACAAAATGCGGCCGTTTTTTCCATGCAGCTTGGTCGCTTGCTTCCGCCACGCCGCCCCGACCAAGAGGCTGCTTCCCATCCAACTCCTCCCATCTGCACCGTTCATCCTTCCCATTTTCCACATCCCATCTGGTCCTCCGTTTGAATCAATCCTGGTCTTCGAAACCCGCGCGACGTCCAAACCAGTTTGGGCCAATGAAACTTGAACGGCCTTTCAGCCAGGGCGCACTCCAAGGCCCTGCTTTTTTTGGCCAGCGCCCCGGGGGCCTGCCCGTCGTTCCTTGTTTTGTGAGCTCCGCGTTCGTGCTGACTATCAAATTTGGGTGAACTGTGGCGGGAAATGAAAAGAAAGGCCGAACGCGTGCTTTCCAGACATTTCTTGTTTGGAAAAGAACTGTGCGTGGGAAATCTAGTCCCAGACGCCAATCACCTCATTTTCTAGAAAAACGCGTCACCATCAAGGCGCCAAGAGAACTTCCCGCTTGCAACACCTTTGACCGCAGAAGGCAAAAGAGAAAGACACCCAAAACTTTTTTTTCTCGCTTTTTTTATTTTCCATTTGTGACAAAAAAAAGCAGGAATCAGAAGGAAAAAGAACCCGAGACACAGGCAAAAGAACGCACGACCTGGCCGGAGACCGCAGAAACGAAAAACGCCCCTTCGGAAGGATGCAGGATTGACACAAGGGCTTTCACACCCTCCTTGCCTCGCCACATCCAAGGCGTCCAACTCTTTTAAAGGTCCCAGTGCCAGCCCCACGCAAAATCACAAGGCCCGCATGGCTCTAGCCCAATCCAAAAAGCTTTTAAAGTCGTGAACAGAAAAGCAAGAACCGCAGAAGAAATTAAATGAAAAAGCTTAAAGGCCAAGAAATGAGAGAAACGCCGTCCGCTCGAGGGAAGGAAAACCAAAAAGATACGAACAAATAACAATCGCAAGACTGACTGGAAACTATGCCAAAAATGGGAAAACCGCAAAAAAAGGGGGACGACGCGAGGTCACCGCAACTAAAATCGTGGAATCAAATGGCGGAACGAGAGGGAACCGAAAAGACGGTTAGGTGGGGGGGGGCGATGGAGAAAGGGTTGTTTTTGCGCTGCTAACTAAAAAAGAAAAACGAAAAGCGACCGTGTCATGGTGACAAGACCCGCTTAGTAGGCCTCAACGACAGGGATCTTCTTGGTGGCGACCGCCGCGGTGGTGGTGGGGAGGACGGCGACAACGGTGGAGGTGGTGTCCTTGGCGTTGTACGCGGGGGCGGTGGCGACGGAGGTCGAGGTGGCCGGGAGAGTCTCGGTGACGGTCAGCTTAACGGGGGGAACGTAGCCGTAGGCGGGGACGACGGGGACCGAGGGAACGACGGGGTTGGCGGTCGACGAGGGGGTGACCTTGGGGAGCGCGGGGGGGACACCGTACGCGGGGGCGGTGGGGACAACCTTGGTCGAGGTGGTCGCGGTGGTGGCAACAGACTTGGAAGAAGCCTCAGGGGTGGTGGTGGCGGTCTTCTTGGTCTTGGGGGTGCACTTCTTCTTGGTCGAGCCGGGGGTGGTGATCACGGGGACAACCTTGGTGGCAGGGACAGAGACGGTCGAGGCCGGGGTGGTCGAGCAGGGGGTGGTGGCCGGGGTGGTGGCAACAACCTTGGTCGAGGTAACGGGGACGGACTTGGTCGAGGTCTCGCACGGGGTCGAGACGGGGGTCGCGGGGACGGTGGCGACCTTGGTCGAGGTGGCCGGGACCGAGGGGGTGGCGGTGGCCGAGGTGGTGGTCGGGACCTTCTTGGTGCACGGCTTGGTGGTGGCCGGGGGGGTGGCGGTGCTAGTCACGGGGACGGACTTGCTCGACGCCGGGGGAACACCGTAGGGGGCCGGGGCCGGGGTGGTGGTGGTGGCAACAGCCTTGCTCGAGGCAGGGGCAGAGACGCCGTAGTACCTGTAAGGGTGATAATTGGTTAACGCTGTGCTCAACGAGGGTGCATGCCAGGACGTTCTGCGCGGTGTGGTGTGATACTTCGTTGGCATCCATTCTACAGCAGCTCCTGGAATGCATTCCAGGCATCCCGAGCAGGATCCTCTCAAATAGTCCCTGTGCTGATACCCAACGACCAGATACCACGTCATTATCTCACACCAACCCAGGACACCTCATCCCGAGAACAGTCCCAGCGTCCAGTGCAGTTCGTAGCGTAGAAATGGATACTCACTGAGGAGCGGCGTTGACGGTGGCGACGGCGGCCAGGAAAGCGAAGACGGCGGACAGCTTGACCATTTTGTATAAGTGTCTATATAAAATCTATGTAAAAAGGCGGGGGGGTGGGGTGGATGGTCTAACTTTCGTGAAGGGGGAAAGGTGCGAGGTGGCTGGCCTTTTATACTCTCGCTTGTTTTCTCTTCTTTTTTATTTTCCTTCCTCTTCTTCCTCCTCTTCCTCCTCTCTCTTCCTCTTGCTCGTTGTTCCCGCTCAGCTCCTTTTTGCGTCTTGGTGTTCTTTCCCCTTTGTCCGATATCGGACTTGCTTCCATTTTTGCAAATTTCTCTCTCTCTCTCTCTCAGCCATGCGAAAATGACACACTGCTCTCTGATGAAGGGAGTGAAGGGGAGGGGGGGTGCTTCAATCCTCCTTCTCAGTTTTCCCCTTTCTTGGGGACTGTTGCACAAGCACCCCTCCCTCTCACTCACCCTTTTGATAAAGTTGAGACTCTGCCCCTCTTTCAAAGGGGCAAAAGATCGGGGGAAAGACGCAGAGAGAGGAAAAATCGGGCTTATTTCTTGGAAGTTTGAACTTGGGGAGGGCCCTCTCCTCCTCCTTGTTTCCTCCTTGTTGAACAAGCAGGGGTGTGACGTGACACAGACAATTTTGTGCTGTTTGACAAGGGCAAACAAGAAGAGATGGGCGGGCGGCACTCTCTCCTCTCTCTCTCTCTTTGAAGTTGAAGAGGAGGAACATGGTCACACAAAGGGAGCTAAAACTCTTTCTGCTGTGTCTGTGGCACACGCTTTCAAAAGGGGCAAAATTTTCTGGATTCTCCGAAATTCCGTTGTTTCCCACGAGTTTGTTTCTTTTTCTTGAAAGGGCACGCGTTTTATTGACCATTTTGAGACACTCAAAACACGCGCGGGGGCATGGTCCCCCTCTCCCCTTTTCCCCCCTTTTCCCCTTTTCTCATTCTTTTGAAACCAAGGGGGAACGGCC